AAACCGTTCTGTTTGCCACTTTTTACTAAAAAAAATTTAGTTATGTAACGTATCTTATGGCACATTTATTCGATTGACTGCAGTTAACAGCTGAAGAGTTCGAATTATCGACAGTCCACTGTAACTAGAAAGAAATAGCCGAAGATAGGCAGATGTGGAGAAGGTTTGTTAAGGTTGGCAAAAGCTCCATCAGGTCTGTAATACCAACAGAAGAAAATTAAAAAAAGAAAGAAAACACCTTTTAAAAGTGTTTTAGTAAAAGGTTGGTACGCAAAAAAATATATGCATTCATTGCAGGGTGGAAAATAGAAAATAAAAATATTTAAGTAATGAAAATACAATTTTATATCGTCAATATGGTTGGAAACTGAAACAAATAACCAATTAAAAAACATCTGCCAAGTAAGGTCAGTATAGCTTCCTCACAGTTTTCATTGGCTAAAATATTAAAATATTATAAGGAACACAATGTTTCGTATGAGAAAAAAATCTCTGGGAGAATACATTTACTTTTCAACATTCGCGGGTTTGATATCCAAGAATTTCATTTATCAGATAATATTAAAATGTAAAAGAGTGACGTATTTGAAGATTTTATATTTGATTATCCTTTATTAAAAAAAAAAATGCATATTGAACATGCATATCACTACTCTTAGTGCAAAAGTTCGTATGTAAAAATTAATTGTTTTCAAGAGGGCATAAAAACTAATTATTTCTTTATACTTTATTACATCGATTTGATTGCAGACAGGCTGACAGGCACCGAGCCAAATTTGATCCTTGATGCCTGAAACGTAAAACGCGAGTGGAAATTTTCCATTCTGAGCACAACATTTGTTTTCAAAACTTATATCTGGATGCATTGGTTTTTATTTCAACTGTTGGACGCACATACGAGAAAGACCACTGAAGATACTAGTCGATCAATATGTAATAATAAGAAGGCGAGGAGGTTAAGATCTGCAGGGCATGGATGATGTATAAATTCACGAGGATAAAGAATTTATGAATAGTAGGCAAGTGGTCACTTAGAAGGCAAACCAGATGATTCCATCGAACTAACAAAGATACAGAAGAGCTGTATGAGATAACAGGAATCAAATATACTTAGACAGGCAGACATGGATATGGCTTGTTAAGTTATGGAAAAGCTCTATCAGGTCTATAGTACCAAAAGAATAAAACAAATCTGGTGTGTTCACTCGCACGACTTTCCTACCTATTTCAAAAAAAAAAAATGTATGTCTTTACATATGTTCATGAAGAAACAAAAAAAAAATTAAATTAGATTTATTTTTCTGAAAATTGATCAAAGAAAAGATTTGTGTAAGATTTATTTGATAAACTAAGGCAATGTAAACCGGCTCCAGATAGATCAGTGTAAAAATTTCAATACTCTATAATATTTCTGATCAAAAACTTTTTGCCATAGCTTAATTTTGTCAAAAAATAATTTCTGTTAAAAGTAAAGGAAATAGTGAAGCTAAACAGGTGCGCCTCAGACAGACAGACAGACATACTAATGGCTCTGAAATGTATAGATCCGTTGATAACCGCATATCGGGAATTTGACCCGATCGCAATACTTTCCTTACCTATTATAGGTAGGAAAGTTTTTTTTTTTATTTCTTATTAAAGAAACTTACAACTGTTATAAATAATAAATACAACAAGTGAATATGAACAAGTAACATGACATGTAAAACATGAAGAGAAACTACCCGTTGGTAGCACTCCAATTATATTTTTATATTAGAAGGTCCCGAAGCCATCTTCTTTTCAGACGCCTCGGAGGGTTATCAGGAATAGAAGAGAAAGCATGGTTGGAAACAAGAGGGTTCGGATGGCTCAGAAGTTTTATTATGAAAGGACTGATTGAGCTAAATCGGAAACATATGGTACATTAAGGTCATTATGGATGATTTTATTTGTGACAAAGTAGGGAGCATTATGGATTTTACGAAGAATTTAGGATTGTAGGGATTGGATGCGAGAGAAATTTTATGGTTTAGAAGAGCCCCAAAGCTCGATCCCGTAAGTCCAAATAGGCCTTATTCTAGTAATATACATGAGTCTTTTGTAAATAGTTGGCAGTTTAGAGTATGGTAGAAAAGTTTAAATATAGGTTGGTGTGTTTAGAAATATATGCATCCAATGCAGGATTAGTGTATGGTGGAAAATAAAATTTTACATTGTTAATAAGATTGGAAACTGAAACTAATATCCGATATCCAAATAAATAACCTAAATTATGGTTCCTTTGGTTTATATTTTTAGGTATATGATTAGAAATGGAATAGAACCTTACAAATAAGAAGGCAGACAACAAAGAGAATAGTCTATAGACTCGATATTCTAAAACAAAGGGGAAGAATCGATATACAATATAGAAACAAATCGATACACAATATAGAAATAATGGAAGGCGGAGACCTACCTCCTGACGGTCCATCTCCGGCGAGGAACAATACCAGATTAGCCGGAGAGATTACGAGCGGCCCCTCCCGTCATTTTGTTTTAACTGACCCCGATAAAGGTAATGGCGCCTCTTTTACGTTCTCGAACCTTGCGGAATTAAATTGAACGGGCAATGTCACTGCCTCCGGCGATAAAATTTGATACCACCACCAAGGCCCCAATGCCCCCTTTTATTACAGCACTAAACTCTTATCCGTTAATGCCCTACTTATTACCATCACCGTGGTGGATATTGTGTTTAGTCTGTCGATCCGATCCTGCGGGATCGATATTTGGAAAAAGCGCTGACGTGCGTAGGGCTGTTGCCAGATTTGGGATTGGTTACCAAAAAAATTAATATTAAAAATGTGTACCAGATGACAGTATGAATCAATAAAAACTTATTTTGTTCTGGAGCTAAAGTCTCCTAAGAATAATGTACAACATTTAAAGAACAGTTAAAGAATATATACATCTGTCTGGCATGTAGAAATTATATAAATATACCATGAATAAATATACCATTATATGAATAAACCAATGCGGATTTAAAAGGAATTATTCGACCATTGATCGAATATTTTCTTTATTAGAGAAAAAAATAGAGTACAACGGTATTGTTCGATTTCAAAAAGGCTTACGATTCTATTGACCGCCAGAAACTGTATAATATTCTAATCGGGCAGGAATTCCAAGAAAAAAACTAGTAAATCTAGTCAGGATGTGCGGTTAGACTGAAGGCGGGAAATGCTTGTTATTTTTCTGTGACAAAACTACTTAGCTCGCGCCTCTTGCCCCGGAAGTTAAAAATTAAAATATATAAAATCTTACCTACAGTTCTTTATGGATGCGAAACTTGGCAGCATAAATTAATGGATGACAATCGCCTTGAGGTTTTTGAAAATAAAGTAATGCGTAGAATATTCGTATCGAAGAAGGATGAGTTAACCGGAAAGTTCAGACGGTTACACAACGCCGAATTGCGTGAACTGTATTCGGGTAATATAATTGAGCCAATTTCATCGCGGCGAATCAAATGGGCTCGTAAAATTGTTGGGCTTAGTAACGAGAGAATTCCTAAACGGTTAATATTTGCTGTACCGAATGGTAAACGTCCGAGAGGTTAGACCGAAGCGAAGGTGGGAAGATTGCATTAAAGCTGATCTGAAGGGACTGGGTTTGGACGGCGAACGGTGGAGGGAGGTGTGTAATAAGCAATTGGTGGGGTTGGCATCGAACCTTCGGGTTCGCTAAGCCTTTTATTATTATTATTATACGAATATACAATGAAAAAATCATAAATAAAAATGAAATGACACTTTTTAATTAACTGTTAGTACGGTGTTGTAATTACATACCCAAAAATTCTTACGAATTTGCGATATTGTGAATGTAAAGTAGGTGATGGAATAGGAGTTGTTTGAAGGAATTTGTGGACGTGATTTTATGGGAGGGGATTTTGAATCTATAGCTTGAGATCTGATAGATAGAAGAACGTAGAGCAAGGAGCTCTAGGATGTAGAGAGGATTTTTGGTTCTGAGGAATTGAGAGAAAAAATACCAAGAAGGAATTGTCGTCAGCAAGAACGATAGGACCACTTCAATTCGTTGCATAAACAGGAAAAATGGGAATCCCTAAGAATTCCAAAGATTAATCTTATGAATTCATGAGTCTCTTCAGTCTTATCTCTAGTCTTACAGACAGCCATCTAGATGTACCATGCAACCGTAGTTGAAATGAGGAATATGTGGTGATACTTTGCACAAACATCTCGTAAGTATTGTAAAAATAAACTTGTGTCCAATGTTCACTATTAAATAAGGAACTGTATATACTTCACTCATCCAAGGCAGACAGAGGAGTATCTGTAACAAATACTTGCCCAAAATGCAATATACTATATGACTATTAAATTACAAGACTAATGCTGTAAAACATTTTATTTGGATTCTACATATATTTACTTGTTATCACCTTCAATACACACCTCTCCTCTATCCCCACAATCCCCATGCGAATATTCCATTGTCTGAAACAGTGTTGGAAGCCTTTTCTGTCAGCTCCTTAAGGACGCGTGACGCTTTCTCTTTCACATCTTCAACAGTCTCAGATCTTTTTATTCTTTATGGAGATGGACGAATCGTGGATTTTTACGTATGATCTTGAAGTGAAGCCAATTCTAAGCTGTGGTAATGGGCTCTTCCAGATGGATTTAGTTTAATTCAGAATCATGAGTAAAACTTCACATTTCGTCAATGTGCATTAAAAGGAACAAGATTTGAATTTTTCTGGGCACTGACACCATTGTAGATATTGAGGAAGGATGTACATTGAAGGTGACGATAAGTTAAAATATATTAAATAGAATAAAATGTTTTACAGAATCATTCTCGTTACTCCATACAAGTATGATTTAAGTGGTTGCATTTATAAGGTTTGAATTAAAGTTCCTTTAATTCATGCATAGTATTAAAAAATATTCATTGCATCTGATAGCTATAGAATATACTTTCTAGAACTTAGAAGCTATAGAACTTACTTTCTTGTAGAACCTGGCTCCCGTGACCTTGTGAAAGCCTTTCTTGTAGGTGATCATGTAGTCGTCGGGGTCGGCGAACTTGAAGAGGATGCCGGTTGCCGTCTTGGTGAGGGAGAAGGGCCCCTTGAAGTTCATCTTGTCGAGGATGGAGGCGGCCTTGTCCATGTTGAGGTCGTGGCTAGGGGTGAGCAGGAAGGCTCCCCTCGTCAAGAAGTAGCCCTCCACCGAGGCTTCCGAGGCAGAGTCTGAGTCGTTGGCTTTCGTCATTTCTTCACCAGCTGTCATCACATTAGTCGATTAAAGATTTAGCAACCATATTACATTTTTTTAATCAAATGAATTCAACAAAATACATCCCCTCCTCAACCAGAAAAAAATGGTGTAAGCGTCACACAACTTTCACTTCCATCTTATTTGTCAGACCTGGGCAAAGAGTATTGAAAATAAAAATATTTTGTATTTTAATCACAAAAAGTACATACACAAAATACTTACGTCTGCTTATACAGCTGACATCATAACCCATCCCAACACTATCATCAACACCTATGCCGATGACACGTTTATCCTAATAGTTAATAACGATCCATCAATTGCATCCTAATCTTTTCAATCGCACATCACATGCCTTGAAGAATGGTGTCAAAACTGGAGAATTAAAATAAATTCCAATAAAGCTCATCAAACTACCTTTACCCTTCGTCGTAAATCTATGACTTCCTGTTCTACAATATCCTTTAGCAATACCCCACTTATCTCTGTTGAACAAATTTGTTACCTATACACGGTGGGCCAGACCTCCTTACCGTGCACTCCCTCTCCCCCCCCCCCACATCCCTATAAATTGCATATTTAGTGTTTCTTGTAACTATTTATTAAAAAAAAAGCCAATGTTCCCACAAAAAAAAGTGAACGAACTGCCCCAAAATGGCGTCCAAAGATGGCGGATTGACGGCTTTGACTTTAGTTAGTTTTTTGGTCACTGAGAATCAGCATTTGGCTTAATTTCCTCATAGTTGGTCTTTTATTAAAGCTGAATAGTCATAGAATAATAAAACATGAAGAAATATTAAAAAATAATTGCTTAAGACTATGAAAAACACCAGTAAAGTCAATGTTTTTAACAAAACAATTTTCAAGTTACAAATCAAGCGTCGTTTGTAATTAAACGGCCTATAATAACGCAAAACGTGCTGAAATAAAACATCTAGAAAATATTTTTTTTTTCTAAAACGCTGATTACTTTTAAAAAATTTTTAAGCAGTTCTGTAGAAAGTGCACTTATGTGGCAGAAAAGCGGTACTGGCGTGGATGCCTACAGGCCTCTACCACACTATTCAGTACACATAAATGGCTTAGTTATAGTGATATAATAACATTTTTGGTACATTATATTGGTTTTCTTAACGAACAAATATTAATGCAATAATTTATTTGTAAAAAAAAAATTAAAATTGTTTAAAAAAAATTATTATTATTTATTTTTAAATTTAGCATCCTTTATTCTATACGTAGGTCGTTTAAGAAGACCTCAATTGTGAACTATTGAGCTGAATATAATAAATATTGTATTTTAAATTATTAGTGTGAATGTTTTCTCATTTATTTATTTATTTTTTTTTTTTTTACTATTACTATAGTCCTTTAATGAGACAGCAGGGAATTATTACTACAACATAAACTGTTGATGATCAAGTTCTAAACCAATAACTAATGCAAAGTTATCTAAGTTCATAGAGATATATTTTTAGCATCTAGCTCTCTTTTAAAATTTCCTCTCACTAAAGTATAATATAATTCAGTCTGTTATATATTCCTGGTTTGTCAATTTTTTACATTATTTCATCTCATTATTTTAAAATTAAATTTAGGGAGTGTATTATATTTAAAAAAAAATATATCTGTCTATTTTAAAAGTATACTAATTATTAAATACAGACATGAAATTATATAATTAGTTTGAACAAATACGGTCGAGTGGTATTGGCAATTGTCAGTGATTGTCTGTGATAACGATGTTGATCTTGTGAATAGCAGGAAGCATAAAGCAATCTATCAGGACAAACAATAGCACTAATTTAATGTCAAAACAATATGTATATGTTGCTATTTTAAAATTCATATTAGTTTTTATCGGCTGTATCGATTTTAATAAATTATAGTAACTACATAAGGACAGAGTAATTGCTCCAATGGGATGGGCGGCAAATAGTGCAATGTTCTTGTTTGCTGGAAGTCAATGGAACTATGAACTTTGTTTAAAATAGTTAAGTTAAGTTGTCGATTTATCGAAAACCTTTATAAAATAATCAGAATGTTCTTCTAAAAAAACAAAAAAAAAAAAAAGTTGGGATCATTACTTTGTAAAGAAATAACTGTTTCAATACCAACGTTTCTGCAAGGAGTTGATATGGCCAGGACTACGCTCAAACGCCAGTATGTACCCCTTAATTACTTAAATAAGAATGCCCACTTTATAGAGGCTTGATGTGCCCAGGACGGATCTCCCAACCTCATAGTCGATCCACTGGTGATGCAATAGGACTGTTAAGGTTAGGAAGTCAGTGTCTTGCCCATTAAGCTACGCCTCGTTTTTCCCCATAAGTAACGTAATTAATAACCAAGGGACTAGTTAAGAATGTCCATCGAAGATGCTAAAGATTTTACAGTAAGCAGTGTCAAATACATGCTTATTTTGAAATTCTCAATTATGTGTCCTTAATGTTGAAACATCCTCTTTTGTAATTAGTGAAGTCTGTATGCGGAACAACTCTTAAGGGATTTTTAATTTAAACTTATTTATAAGTTAAATGTTCCATTATTTTAGGCTCCGTTCTTACCAAAATAGTATGACGGAGCTTAAATCGCAAATTTTCAAATTTCCTCTTTCGAAAATACCCTAATGTTGTTTTATTTAAAATTTACTTTCACAAGCATAAATAATTGATACAGAGACCACTTGACCCAATCTCGGAAAAATTAATCCGAATTGGATTAATTGTTGTTTTAATAACTTTAATTAAGCCTCATACATTGACAGCAGACACAAAACCAAAAAAATGTTTTTCACATCATCCTTTTTAAAAAATATTTTAAAGGTGTCAACATTTAAAGGTATATTGTCCTGTTTCGTACGTTTCAAAAAATTAAATAGTTCGTTAACCGCATTCGTATTGTCTTCCAAAATAGTAGGTGGATAGCTTGGCAAGAAACAAAGATATTTAGTGGTTCGTAGGATCGGACTTCTGTTGAAAAGATGTTTTATAGTCACACTTCATACTTTCAAAAAATAATTTGCCTTCGTTTTTAATTTGGATGCAATATTTAAAATCGAAGTCCAGAAAGTAATATATTTTACATGAAATTAAACAAATACCGAAAAGCAAAAAAATATTAAGTAAAGCAAACTAACAAATCATTAATAATTTAAAAAAAAAATCATACATCTCAATTTTAAATGGGTATTTGGTCTATAATATGCCGTAGATAATATACGGTATGTTACAGTCATAAACAGAATTCTTTTGGAAGGATGATTTTTATTAAATATATTTAACCTATTAAGGAATTATTAATGGATCAATCGCTTTTAACAGTTAATTATTATTAATTATAATTATTTAAATAAATATTTTTTAACTTGATGAATTCAATCGAAAACGTTATTTAATAATTATAAGCTAATTTATACGTATTTTTCAATTAATGACTGATTCATTGCTTATATAAAAGAATAAACGGAGCGTTGATGTTCGGTCGTGAAAACGAATGCTTCAGGGAATTTTAGAACAAAATATTGCCTCAATTCCGGGAATAAATATTTACTGATACATTTTCCAATACTGAGGGGGCTTTTATAAATATTTTATCGATTAAATCTAAAATGAACCAAGGCCCAAAAAAAAGAAAAATAATAAATTATAACAAAAAATCGACAATGTTTTTCTTTTAATTTACCAAAGGATTTGGTAAAAAAAAAAAACAATGTATTACGAACGTAGTGTTAAGTAAAATAAACAGTAATTAAGATATTGAATTAATAATTCACATAAATAATAAAAATGTAAAATAAAAATAAAAAGCTACGGTGTGTGCTTGAGACCATAGTGACCATACAACAGGATTGAAAACATTAACAAGACGAGATTAATAATAGATTTTTTTTTGTTCTATATTAACAAAAAAAAAAGTATTGGTCTAGAGATCTTCTGCTAACAAGTTAAACTAGTATCAAGAAAACAAGAAGATAGAATAAACGCCAAAACATTTGCTTGATTCGTTGCAATGCAGTGGAAACTTTAATGGAAAATAAGTAAATACGTAATGGAGTAAAACATTCAGAAAATAGTAACATTCACAATATATACAAAAATAATTGTGCATAAATTACTTTAGTAAACTTTACTTTGTCATACTGAACGTCATTTGTATCATATTCTGGTTTCTGAATTCACCAACACACCAAGGTATTAAAATTTCGAGATATTTTAGTCCAAACGTTCAATCAGTCGTTAGTATTTTTCTTTTTTTTTTTTGAGCTATATTTTTCCCTTTTCGACTCCCTAACTCGGCGTTATTTCAAAATACAATTTTTATTTTTAACTCATTAGAAAGAGGATGAAATGTTGAAAATTTCCCTCGCTTACAGTATGGAGGTCCGATTTTTAGTTTCTGCTATATTTAAACCCATACGTAAAAACACACATAGTCTACTCGAGCCGACTTTACCTGAATAAGCGTTACACATCCGTACCTGACGGCTCAATACCATTCAATGCCCACAAAAAAAGTACAAAACAAGCTTAAAGAAATTTTAATTTCAAAAAATGTAAAAAATTGAGATAATGGGTTTCATGTCATATTTTGTATTTCATAATCATCGTGTTTAATTGTTTTAACATATAATTAGTTTAAACAATTTTCAAAATTAATTTTTGATTTAATATTTAATTCATTAATTTAAGTTAATTCTCCAAAACTAAAACTGAGACAGAAACTGAATACATATACATACTTACTTAAACCCATATGGACATACTCATCACAAATATAGCTTTATCGCTAAAAAGACACATAAAAAAACCTTCCAATCGAAATTATTGCGACTTGTAACAAAAGCACCTTTTTGAAGAACGTGACTATCAGAACTCTACATACTGACCTCTAACTTCAAACAGCTGACCGAAATATAACGATCCTTTATCAGCTATTTTATACAAATTTAAATGGACATAATAACATACATAATAAGAGACATGGCCACAGCTGACATACCTCAGA